ATCTATCTAGTCTTCATTCACCCTGGAAATTATTATTTCTTGGCAAAAATGCAGTGCATTTCTGARTGAAGTAATCCATTTATAGGAATATATAACTATAACAGATTAAGTACTTTTGAAGTAGGAGAGTGTTGGTTTAATTTTTATAAAATAAACCATACAACTTAGAAACACATTTAAAGTGTGGGTGATGAGTTTATGTCTTAACATTTGAGAATTTGCATAGATATAAGTAAAGGACAGGCAGTTACACCCTCTCTTTTTCTTGAACTTGAGTTGACTCCTTCACATTCACCATAACAACCCATATGATAAACACGTACATGGGCTCTGGAGTATGTGCCAAAACTTTCCAACGTTAATAATGAATATGTTTGAACTCCATGATATAGACTCTTTAATAAGTTACTGCAAAGATGATGTAATTCTAGGCTGGCATTTCCTTTTCACAGTATACTATTGTGAATGCTTAATACTAGACTGCAACCTTCAGGGACATTTATGTTTTCCCCCCTTGATAATATATGGCTAAGCCCTTTGGTCCCTTTTTTTACCATGACAATGATCAATATAGCTTGGTTTGAGTCTTCCCTGTCTAAGAAAGGAAGGTAACCTTGGAAGGCAAATATTGCCAGAGCAGACAACTTCAGTTTAATGCACCTTTTCCCATAATGGGAATGCAAGCCTCAGCTGCTCTAATATTTAACTGAAGCAGGTCCCATTTGCTTATCTTTATAATCGCTCTTTTATCTAGGCCAGCTGCTGCTCCTGCTGCTGCTATAGCCACCTCTGTCTAATTGGAAGGAAGTTGCCTTGATATCCTACTGGTTTAAACCTGCAAGGCTGCTACCTAGAACCTGTACCCCAAATTGGCATCTGAAAATGGGCTCATTTATAAATACTGTTGCCTATTTTAGCATAAGAGATAAAATTTTAAACTACAATTTTATTTTAGCCACTTGGCATTACATCACATTCCTTTTACATGAACTGAGTCTTGATCGTTAATTTCATAACCAAAAAATGAATTTAGTTCTACATAATAGTACTTACAACATCTTGTACAAATTAGTCTTCTTTTTTAACTCATTGAGACATTTTTATGTTCCGGAGTAGTTATTATTCCTTCCATTTAACTATTTGGGTCAGTTTAATGATACATTAATAATTATTAAAGTGAATTGGAAACTGTTATATGGTTGGGTTCCTTTAGAGCTCCTGAAAAGACTTAAAATCAAAGCCTCTTTCCAAGTATTATTTATGGCTTATGGTTTGCTTATTTTTTTCTTTACAAAACATTGCTGTAGATCTGAGTAATGAGCATAGCATTTGTGCAACTACCTCCAAAATTTGATCAATCCAACTGTCTTTTAGTTTTATGTTTCACAGAAATAGCACATTAGCTATGATGGCAAGGCACCTTCAATAACTATACAGGTAATTACTTTTCTGTGGCCCCTTTTGTGACAACCACTCTTGGTAGGCATTGATTTGTTTAGTCTTGAGAAATATAACTTAAGATAAGAGACAAAGCACATTGTGTAATAATGTTATGAACTCTGAACCACTTGTATTGGAGAAAACAAACATAGCAGGTCTGAATTTTGTATTTAAACAAGAGAATTATACAATGCGAGTGTAAAGCAACAGTGGAAATCATTTCTTTTACCCAAATATGCACACTGAGCTTCGCTGGCATTGAAGGTGGAGCTCTGCAAAGGCTCCCAGCACCTCCATACACCACTTCTCAGAATTACATTAAACCAGTTGGGACATGATAAAAGAATGCGAGGTATAAATCCCTTGAGGGCCTGTGAGTCACTATCTAGAAAGATTCTTGAAAGGGTAAGGACATTTTATAGTTTGATCAATAGGAGCCTGAGAAGGAGGCTGCAGGGTAAAAGACAAGTTGAGGATTAAAAACTTAGAAACTTGAAGAATTGAATTACTACCCTAAGAAAGTTCCCAGGAGAAAAAGAGAGACAGAAAAAGTGAGAGCATTTTTTTTTTTCATCAGATCTCAACCAGCAACCTATATTCTAGGTCAGAATTCAGCCAAAGACATTTTGATGATAATCAGCTCTTGCTATCCCAGATCTGATGMTGACACATGCAGAGTTTTCAAGAAATCCAAGGGCCTGCATAGTAGTTTTGGATACATATTGAGAGGAAGTCAAAGATGGGGTTGTGGATTTCAAAATTAGATCAACTTTCCCATAGAACATGTCATAGAAAGAGGTGCTTTTCTGTTTGTTTTCCAGTCAGAGTGAAGTTTTACTTTTTACTTTGAAATCTATAGGACATAGCGTTGCAGCATGTTTTTCCTCTTTTTTGTGACTTTCATGTCAGTTAACTAGCTGTTGCACTGTGTGCTTAAGGGAATGTAGATTACGATCATGAAGCAGGCAGTCCAGTTTAATGGCATGGCCACTGCTGCAGTTCAAGAGCATAAAGAAAGGAGCCTAGAGAAGAATTTCTGAGCTCAGAGAAGATTCTAACACAGAGCCCTACCATGAGATGTCACTGTATAAAAATCCAGACTTTTACAGAGCTGCTATTTATGTGATATACCAGCAAGACCCCACCAGCATGCTGGCTACTAGGTGCCAAATCCATGGAAGCAGTGGGCCTCTGTCTATGCAGCAGGGTAGATGTGTGGCCACGGGGAGGGGAGTGATGGCAGGAAAGGGGAGTGATGGAGCTGTAGACATAGCCAGCACAATGCCCCTTTCCCTTTTTCCTACCCAAGTTACACAAAAGAGGCTTCCTATAGAGTAGTTCTCAGTGCATCCATCAGAATTCAGAGGAAAGAAGTTTCTCTTGATGAGATGTCAAAGAAAGATAGCAAGAGCTGGTGAGAATGGGGAGAAATGAAGGCGAGGGAACCGAGTAAGGAGGTCAGCCAGGTCCAGAGTGTTCTTTATTTGGTATCAACTGCCTCTGTCCATCGCCTAGGCTCTGCTCTCCTGGATTCCATAATTGATCTACAGACATGCCTGGAACTGACTAGGGTGCAGCCAGTCCCTACACGCCAAGAAATGAGGAGCCTGTAAAGGAGGGTCTTCTAATCTGGATCTCTTCCTCGGGTGATGAGGCGCCAGTATTTGCATAGTAAAAAGGAATCCTTAACTGCTATCACTTCTCCTCCCTGAGGAGCACCCAGAGGACCCTCAGGAAGCCCGATATGGCAGTTCCCACCACATGAGGCATTCACAGATTTCATGCCACAAATAATACATGGAAAACATCTTGAAACAAAACCCTACTTCACAGGACATAAAAGTCTTGTATGCAGAGAATGAGGACCAAAACGATATTTTTAAGTGAACTTAAGATATATATTCATAGAAACACTAAACCTTAGAGGTCCGAGAATTCCTCATTTTAGAGGTCCCCTAGAAATATCAAAGCTTTCCTGAGTGTTCTTGGACGGTAAAGTTAAACCCCGCTCCCATTTGATGCTTCCTCCAGGGTCTGATCCCTGCTTTCTAACTAACCAGCAGAAAAGGTGGTTAGGACTGCCCTGCAATTCATAGGTCTTTCAGGGCAAACCAGTGAAACAGGTATCACAGCTGCCCTGTTAAGAACCCAAGTTCACTTACCCTTGGTTCTGAGTTGGGGCTCACCAACTCTTATATACCCTCTTTCCAGCCAGCCCTCTTAGGCAGTCTTTCTTCTGGAACTTTGTATGATTCTAATGGTGAGGAAAGTAAGAAGTGAAATAGATTTTTGTCCAGGAATTCTTCTTTGTAAAGGCTACTTCCAGGCCTAGCAAAAGTGCCTCCATAGAACAAAGTCAGTCATCTGTGAAAGCCGGGAGATTGGGGATTGAAATTGACAAAGGGATGTGGGCTTGTCTCTAGAAAGGTGACTTTCTACCCAGGGATCTTCCATTTCCATTAATCTGGAGTGGTACTTTAAGAAGAAAAAAAAAGAAAGAAAGAAAAAGAAACAAAACAGAACAACCAACCTCCTGTTCCAGACCCCAGGCAATCTTCCTGCAGAGAGCAGCAGCTGGGAGTCCTGGTGGGAGTTTTTCATGAACTCTGGCCGGGGGCTTCTTGGAGTCTTTTAAAGGAACATCCTACAGTGTTCCCACCTAGGCCTCCCTTTCCTCTCTGAGAATCTTTCTGCTTCATCTTCTATTCTCTGATTCTTCTCTTGAGGATCATTTTGGATGGGAAAATACAGGTGCAGGCTCACAGTGGTGTGAGATTTGAGCTTATTCTGGAGAAGTATAGGTGTTAGGTATGAGGAAAGGAAACAAAAGATTTCCAATGTACTGTGTGTGCTCTTACTCTCTTAGGGAGCCTTGGCCCTTTGACCAGATTGCTCACCTGCAGATCCCAGGGTCTTTATAACTATTAAATCAATTTTAGGAACTGACATGTAGTGTTGAGATATTACCACTATTTATAGAGATGTATGTTAATGATGAAAGGAAAATGAGTACTGGAATCAAATCCGGATTTAATTTTTTTATTTACATCTTTAAACCAAACTACTTTTTTCCCAAAAATTAAAAATAAGGATTGTTAGCTGTGTTAATGGAAAAACATCCATATGGAGTGCTATACTGTGTTAAGTTTGCCATTGTTATAAATAGTTCAATACCTTTGTAACTTAATGTTAAGATTCTTACAAGATGCATCGAAAGAAAAGTTTGCTTCTAGCTGTCACACATATAATTTCACGCAAGCCCTTGTTTTGGAGAATTTTATGTGGTTGAATTGACATTGCTTAATAAACAATTGAAAAAGTTAAGCATAACCTAGAAGTCATTTAGAACTATGAGTCACTTTCCTGACAAGCCAATAAGGTAAGAGAACCCTGGTTGCAAAACAATTACTAGCCCAGCCTGAGGGACCCTGGAAATATATTACAGGGATCAGTTAAGAAAACAAAGCCGCAGTGTTTTGCCAGGCTGCAGAGAACAAGCTAAGGTTGCTAACCAAACCAAACAACTACACTGACAATGCCAATTTTTACATTTGTTTCAGAACAAGGGACGCTCAAACAACCAGAGGTAAGATTAACATTTAAAAATTTTATATAACTTTTGCATTTCAAGTTATTTGCTAACTTAAGCAGGCTTGAGCTTGTGCAATATTAAATGTGCAAATTTAAAATGAATAGCAAGAGAAATGGAGGGAGCAACCAGGTGCTTGTGAGTGCCATCAGAGGCTTGTTCACCTCTCTGTTGTAGACCTGGGGTCCAGGGACAGTGTGAATGCTTAGTGTAGTACTGTGTGTAAAATATGATACTTGGTGAGGAGGGAAGGGTGGCCATATCCCAGGAAATTGGTAGACATGTCCCCTATCATGAAATGTGTGTCTGCCTCACATTTACCAAAACTTCTGCACTAAAACTTCTGATATTGTTCACCTAAAGATATGGTTTTATATTTCTTGTCATTTTCCATTTGAGCACAAATGTGATTAGTGTTGTGTCCTATTGAGCAAATCAAGATCTGATAACATTTTCATTTGGATTTATGCAATCTCCTAATGGCTTAGAAGTATGTGATCCCTGTTACTTCTCAGAGTAAAGTAACTTAAAAAAAAACACAAAAGAATGAAAAATATGCAGATTGTAGACCACCATGGAATCATGGCCTTGGCGTTCAACCAAAAGTAATAAAATTTTCACCTGACTCTGCCAAAATAGCAAAAGGTTTTTTGTTGTTGTTGTTGTTGTTTATTTGTTTTAGGTGCTGAGAATCAAATCCAGGGACTTTGTGTTGCTAGACAAGCACTTTACCACTGAAATATACCTCTGGTGCCATAGCAAAAACTTTTTTAAAGTACCACAGCAAAGTAAAATATAAAATGCATGTGATTAGTTACATAAATGAAAAGTAGTCTGCAAATTTCACAAAAGAATCATTACCAAATGATTTTAACATGTACCAATTATCTCTTTTTAAAAGTGCTATCAATCCCTAACACCAAGAAATAAAATAGCAATAAAAGTATTACATTATTAGTATGTTTTTAATAAGCTATAACTTATATACCAAAACTTCTGCACTAAAGTTGACAAAAACAATGAAAAATACAACTGAATGTATGTGGTACAGAAGAGGTACTTGTTCCTCTTCTGCATGAGCACATGGTTTACACAGGTAGAGTCTCAAGAGTGTGACAGCAAGAAGCTCCTGTTAGATACAGCTCTGTAGTGTGTCTGTTAAGTGTGCTTTAGAATCTGGATTCTAGATCAAGGAATACATAACAAGATAGACAATAATAATTTTTAAAAAATAGGCCACAAGTTCTTTTAGGGTGAAGTAAATTTACCAAAAATTCCTTCAGTATTTCATCTGCAGAAAGGTTCTTCATCAGTGTGTCAGGGTTCCTTTTCCAAGGAAGATGCTTTTCATTTCATTTTAATAAGGTAATGTGAAGTGGGTGTATTTACAGAAAGAAAGTGTGCTAATAAGAAGTGGTTAATAATTTTCACATATTAAAATAATTTTCTCAGGTACTTATATACTCTTGAAAATGACACATAAGCCTATTAATAAAAGGAATTAATTTTCACATTTTTTAAATGTGGCATCAGGTAGCAATAGGTTTTTGAGCGACTTGCTTAACTTTTCATATAAGATGTATGGTTTTTATTTAATGTGTGACTGACTGTACTGAGAATCTCTACTTTTCTGGAGGAAGAGTGTGGGGAGCTCTCATGCTGGCCAGTGTACTTGGAAACCTTAGTTGGTTCAAGGAAGAACTGTAGCAAAAAGAAGATTAAGAAGCATCTTTTCACTCCATAACAATGTGTTYACTTTCAATAACAAATATTCTCCCCCCAAGTTGATGATGAAACCTTTTTAGAGTTCTGGATTTTTTTTTTATTCCTTTCCCCTCTTAATAACTTTCTTTCTCTCCTTGAATTGGTTGAAAGTTCTCTTCTGTATGTCTTTTAAGAGCATTTTTGTGAATTTTTATTTTAATTTCACACTTGGTTCTCAAGGTAGATCAGGTTCTGATAGCCACGGGATCCGTAGGCTCCATGGCCACACTCATTCCAGAGTGGCCCTTCAGGACCCCTTCAACTTCGAGAAGCAAGTTTATCATTACACACCTATTCAGCTACTTTGAATCCACTCCTTAATGTGGGTTAAGATAGAAGAACCAGATGCCAGATAGCAAATGAAGATTTGCTTGTTTTATTGGTAAAACCAACAGAAATAATTGTCTTTTTCCCCCAAAGAGGAAAGAACACAAGTGAGATTTTTGGATAACAAAGATTTTTTTTTTTTTTTTTTAAAGACAAACTGTCAGAGAAGTGCCAGTTGTGGTGGCCTGTGCTTGTAATCCCAGCTGCTTGGTAGGCTGAGGCAGGAGTATCACGAGTTCAAAACCAGCATCAGCAAACCAGCCTTAGTGAGGCATTAAGCAACTCAGTGAGACCCTGTGTCTAAATAAAATATAAAATAGGATGTGGCTCAGTGGTCAAGTGCCCCTGAGTTCAATCCCCAGTGTTAAAAAAAAAAAAGTATTAAGTAATGAAGCAAGAAATAATTACCAGGTGCTTATAAAATCAGGTTTGTTCTTCAACCCTTCTAGGTAGATCAAAAGAGATTGAGAAGGCCCTGAAGACCGATTCTCATGGTCTCATGGGTTTGTAACTGAGAACTCCCAGAATGGCTAGTAGATAATGTTGTTCTCTCGTTCCCCTTTTCTTGCTGGGGACAAGAGCCTGTTCAGTCTTGGCCTAGGCTTTTGAGAATCCAGATCTGGGAGGAAAGTCTGTGGGACAGGGATGAGAGAATGACAGTTGAGTGTTGCATTTTAAAATTGTTTAGTGTATTCCTTTTTTTTTTTTTTTAACTTTTTAGGTGCTTTGAAAGTATAATAAAATCAAACTYTATCAATAGTCTCACGAGCTGATATTCCCTCCTATTTTTATAATTTATCACATAGTTCATGCCCACTTTTCCTGCAGAAAAGTTTGTTTGCAGTGTGACTAATTTTCAGTGACTTTTCAGGAAGAAGAATCTGAACCATAAACGGGGAGCCAGCCGGGCACACTGGTGTGCCTGTATCCCTGCTACTCAGAGACTGAGGCAGGAATATCCCTTGAGTCCACGATTTTGGGGCCTGCCTGGGCAATATAGCAGGACCCTGTCTCAAGAACAAAACAAAGCAAAAAGAAGTAAAACAGTAACTCAGTTCAAGAATGTATCATTTAGGTGAACTTAAACATTCAAAATTTTATGAAGTTAATGATAGTGATAATAAATTCTCTCTTAACAAGCCTTACCATGTGGCAAGAACCCTTCTAAGCACTTAATGTAAATTAACTCACTTAATTCTGTGAAGTAGATGCTATTATTATCCCCATTTTGTAGATGAACAAGCTGAGGCAAAGAGATGTACTGAATTTGAACTTAGTTTTATTCTCTAAGCTGTATTCTTAATAATCCTATTATGTTTTCTTTTTTCACATTTTAAGTTTACAGTTTCTAAATAGGGCTGGTTTAGGGATTCTAGGACTCTGACTCAAAGGTTGAATTCTTTCTTGCCACCCAAGCACTTTGATAATAGAACTTAGAATATCAGATGAAAGACAGTTTCTAATGCACATTAAGAAGGTAATGTACAAGAGAAGTCAATAATGGCAAGATAGCCATCATTATATATATATGCCTATTGCAAATATAGTCAGTCGTATTGTCCTTTATATGGGAAGTCCAGAAAGTTTGTAAAATGTCAGGGAGAATGAGTTTTCCTTTGAAAGCAGTTTTCTTTCACGTTATTGGGTATGAATCTGTCACTATCAGGCTTCCCCTTTCTGTGCAGTGGCCACCAAGAGGCCCAGGGTAGCATTTGCCTCTCAAAGAGACTCTGTTTATAATAGTTATTCCAGTACAGCTATCTGTCATGCTCAACAGAACTTTAATGCTCACTTTAATGATCCTGTTTGTCTTTTTAAAAATCCATTTTGAAAGCAGTTGTGGTGAAAAAAAAAATTACRTTTTTAAAGTTTTTTCCAATTCTTTCACCTGTGCCTGAGAATCTGCTAGATTTGGCTTTGAGGCCCTTTGGAAGGCTCAAAGACCCTGTTTCAACCATTTGACTTGTGAGTAAAAAACAACTTCAGAAGGAACCCTGAGAAAAATCCATGACTAATGTGTATTTAGCAAAGCCAAATGTGCTCTGAATGAAACCAAGTTTCCACATACAGGCACAAAACCCAACATACATAAAAAGAAAATTGCTTTTGTGAAAATCTGGATTATATGGTAGTCATAGACTCAGCTTCTTATCCAGTTGTATAATAAAAAGTGAAAAATCAAGTCCTTCTTAATTAGTGAGATTACCATAGTTATTAGGTGAGAATGAATTCAATGCATGTGAAATCAAATGTGTAACCATGCATTTCAAAAAATTTAAATCTCTTTCTCTTTTAAATTTTATCTATGGATTCCTTTTCTAAAATAAGAATTCACTTTTATGGTTTCAGAGCTGCGAGTTCTGTTTTTTTTCTTTCCTTTTACTTTTCTTTTTCTTTTTTTTTAAGTATTCAGATAACAACTGGTCCATAGTTAAAATATTAGACTCATTTGAGTGTTTGCTAAAATCAGAGTTTCAGAACTTGGTTTTGAGGTTGCATATTTTTCTTCTTTCTCTATTATGTCAGGTCTCAGAAAGAGGAGTTAAGAGTTTTAGCAGATCAATTTAAGGCTATTATTCATATGGCTTTTCTGAAAACATTTCCCAACCCCAAATGGCTGCCTGGGCTTTGTTCTCCTATTTCCTCTAGTCACTATAACTTAAAAAAAAATCACAGTATCTGGAATTGGCACACAAAAATATTTCTTTTTCTTGGAGTCATATCAATGACTTGTCAAATGTAATGATGTTTGCTGGGCATATTCCTGTAATCCCAACTACTCTGGAGGCAGGATGATCGCAAGTTCTAAGCAGGCCTGGGCAGCATAGCAAGACCCCCCTCAGAGGCAATAGGAGATGGAATGATGTTCAAATGGAAGACTTATTACAGAAATTAAAAGGGTTAAATAATACAAACAAACTTTTAAGACTGTTTTGTTCCAATTTAGTCATGCTTTTATTTTGAAAAATACAGCATTTGCTGAGCTTACAAAATGTCAGAGGTAATGTAATTTCATAACGCCAAATGACCAATACATCTTTGTTTTGCTTTGTTTTACCTTTCTTGGCAGAAACGGACCAATGGACTCCGAAGAACTCCCAGACAGGTGGATCCAGGTGCGTTTCTCATGATATATCCTATAATGACTTCAGTTAAGGAATTGCTATAGAAAGTCAGGTATATTCTTGGCCTTTGTTCCGCACAGCTTGGTATATACTGTATGACCAGGAGGCAAAGTTCCAAAATGTAAATCATTCACATGATGTGTAACCACAGTGCCACACTCTTTCCACAATCAGCAGTTGGGCTGGTTATTTGCTTACTGAACCACCTCAGGGTGCCTGGCTAATGCTAACATATCCCAGCATCCTCCCTTTGCCCCCTCCTAAATCTGGTAAGAAAACCAACCAGCAAGATGACCCTTACAAATTACAATTTTTCTGAGGGAGTTGGGAAGAGCATACAAATGGTACCTCTCCATTTCGGAAGTTTCTTAATCTTATGTCTGTATGATTTTATAATAGAAGCATGTTTTCAAAATTGAGGACTTTGTGAACAAGTGTCCTCTCTGGAGATCATTGATTTGTCTATAGAAAACAGTTATTTTCTACTTAATTTTGTGAGGTTTGCCATGTCATTATGTTAGTGTAATTATTTTGTTAATCTATTAAGCGATGCCTTCCTGAATTTAATTATGAAATATTTTGTTCTGTATGTGATCCTGTTATTACAGGTAAAGGGTATTCACAGCTAAAGAATTCCAAATATATGAACTTGATAATAAATCAAGTGGAACATGAAGAATGGAGTAGCCTTGCTGGAAAATAATGTAGATTATGTGTTTTGTTTTGTTTTCTCATCATAAGCAGTGTTCGCCTAGTCATAAAGTTTAGTTTTCAAAGCATTATAGCTTTTAACTGAAACCACACCCATCATAGCCATGCCAGTTTATGAGCTGTCTGGGATTTATAGCAGCTTTGCTGCCTCTGGCTTGAAATTGCCTCACTTGTGTCATGGGATCAGTTTAAATCTTTTAACTACAGAACAAAATTGAGGCCATTAAAAAAATAGGGTTCTGGTTTACTTTTTAATAGTTCTAACTTTCCCAAGACAATACCCTCTGCAGAGGACTCTGCAATAATATTCAGAAGTTACTTCTCCTGTTTAGTAGGAGCGTATGACCATGAAGATACTATTTTTTTTCTTATTTCATGTGAGTTGTATTTCTATTTCAGAAGATCATCTAACCTTTCTAAATGTATTTTTAATTTTTTTTCTTTCTCCTATGTTCATTTTCATTTAGASGSTTTCCCTCCAGGGAAATGCATTTCTATATTTAGAGTGTGTCAGTAGGAACACATTTAACTCTTTAACAATTTATTTTATAGCTAACATAAATTGGGATTTCACAGATTATAAATGTGGCCAAGTAGTTCAATAATAAAATACATTTATACTCCTTTATCCTAAAGGGGATGGTATTGTATAGTTGTAACTATTTTGGTGTTTCTGTATGTCTAAAAATTTTAGAACTTCATGAAACATAAACTTAAAAATGCAAAAGTACGGTTGTATGTTTGTGAACGTATTTAGAAAAAAATTCTATTAGGTATACTAAGTCTGTATGAGTATCTTTCTCATTTTTCCACATTTTTGAGAAAGCCAAATGGTTAATAATCTTGCAGGTGAACCTGCTGGTTCACCTGTTTCGCCCATTAGCCATCTTTGGAGTCAGACTTGAATGATCTGTTTAGGATTGGTTGACTTTTGCTTCTCTGACTATTTCTGCTGACAAGGGACAAAGCTTTGTGGTCCAGAGTTAACCTTTACTTGATGACCCTCTTGCATTGATCCTGATGGAGTCATTRTTTAGCAGATTTTCACACTTGTGGAGTGTTTTATCCAAAGTATTTAAACTGGTGATCTTCACAGTGGAGGCTACATGGGCAGACTGCTTCCAAGAAGCCCTGCTTACTGTTTGCTTTTACTGTTGAAGTTCCTTTTGTCTGTTTATTTTTTCCTCTCCTAGCTAATTTAGTTGTCATCTCCAAGTGCTAATACACTGATGACTTTCCAGGGCCTTATTTATGGGGGGGTTGTAGTAAAAAGGATTAAACCATTTGGGAGGTCAGGTGTAACTACTTCACATCAGGTTCAAATTTCAGAACCATGTACAAAGGTAAGTTATATATCTTCTCTATAGACCTTTTGTGTTGGAAAAGAACTTAGTGCATAATTCCATGGGGTAGGAGGTACTTAGAAAATATTTGTTACATGAATTAATGAATGACTATATACTTTTTTTGTAGGTAGGGGTTGGCTTTCTTGCTTTATAAATTCTTCTTGCTTATGTGCTAATAGACTATGTCAGGGTCCACTGGTGGAAAGTAGCAGGGCTCTCAGCCACACTGGCTGGGGATGGGATTGGATTTAGCTGTTTCCTTGCTGTTTGACCTTAGGCAATTTGCTTTCTCTTTGTGTTTCCTCATTTTAAAGGTTACCAATGGCAGTACCTACCTTAAAAAGTTGTTGTGAGCATACATGAATAAATACTTGTAAAGTGCTTTTCAAATTGCCCAGTATGTAGTAAATGCTAAGTGGTAGCAATTATCATTCTAATTAGTTTGTATTAGATTTTAATATTGTCTATTTTGGCATTTAGAGAATCAATAACATTTGCCAGTTATTTCTTTGCAAACAGACCCTGAATTTTATGTTGAATTTTCATTGAAGCAAGAAGTTATATAATCATAGTCATTTCCAGACTTGGAGTTATTCCCTGCTTACCTAATGACTGTCATGCTCTTTTGCTCATCTTTACCAATATACTCAGTCAACAGTAATGTTTGAGAGGTGATTTTTTGTGTGTGAAATTAGTGTTTGTGATTACAACAAAGAAACAAAAACTACCAAGGTTGAAAATGCACAGTGTGAAGTTTTATTCTAAACCAAGGAAGATGTGAGCTGTGGGTTTACATTTTGGCTTACTAGCACATTTTTAAAAACATTAGCTCTTTATTAATAATTGTGGATAATATTTGTCTTTGCTCTTTATTTTTTCTTGTCTTCTATTGTGTGCTAAGAAATTTATCAACTTATAATCTTGACTGCTTTTATAAATTTAGTAATGTGTTAGATGCAAATTGTGGTAGCTCTTTTGAATTACTTAAATATAGCAGAGTATTTTCATCAGTTTGTACTTTTCTTCCTGAGACAGATGTTAGTATCAGAAAAACAACACTTGTAACAGACAGATCAATTATTTCAGGAACACGGAGGTGCTAGGCCTTTTTCAAGAACATGAGATCATAAATCTCAAGAAAATCAGAGCACTGGTGTAATATTTTTCACCTAAAGTGGCACTCAAGGTCAAAGTTACCAATTAAATTTTAATACTGAGCTTTAAAGGTTTTTTTTTTTCAATCTAAGTATAGTAGATACAAGATTTATTTCAGTTTGCATATAGTCTGTCTGTATGCCAGGGCATGTGTTCTTTCCTCCAAATCCACGTTTTTTTGACTGTGGTGAAATTGTCCTGTATTTGTAAAACTCACTGCATCCTGTATTTAAATCCACAGTCTCTACCTTTTAAAACATTCAGGCCATTTTTGGGTGTTGTGCTGCCTGTAGGTTASAAGGGGTAGATGGCAAATGTTTAGATAGCTCACTCCCTTTCTGAGTTTAAGTTACTCATGTAATCTGTGATAACCTTGAACAGTATATGACAAGATGATAGTTAAATTGATGGGTTCTTCCTGAGATCTTCAGGTTMCCCTGTGCTCTTTGTTAAACTCTTGATTACAAAGAGATACCTGTGACTTTGGCTGTATTTATATTCACCCAGAAGATCTCCTAATCATGTCTAAGTACAGACAGCTTCAAGATGGTCACTTTCTCTTTCTGAAGGGAAGGATTGTTGTTTGCCACTTATACTGTTTGTTCTTATGTGAAGAAAGGAATTCAAATAATCTTTACTTCATTACCAGCTTCATGCCCTACATGACATTAAGCACAGCAGTGTCATTAATTAAAAACATGGTCTCTCTCCACAAATATTTATGTTCTATCTAGAAAAGGAATAGAGGCACAGTTTTGACTGCATAAATGAGTATATATATATCTATACATATATATGTATAGATATATATATATACACACACACATATACAATGTTTTWTATATATAAAACATTGTAGTATTATATAAATTTTACATATAGATCCATTATGGTATAACATAGTATCTTAACAACAATTGGTAATAATCCTGTAAATATACATGTATACATAAATATCTATAATTACCCCATACACTCAAAAAAGCAAAATAAATTGGAAAAGACAAGCAGATGTGGGCTCAAATTATTTTTAAGCTGGTTTATGTATAGCTGTTTTTATTTATATAAAAATCTGTTATGCTTGTTTAGTATTGAATTACAATTTAATGTGATTCTCCTTAGTGTTTTAATTTCAAAGGATTACTAAATGCATTCCAAGTCTAAATAAAATTGTTTCTTTTAAATTTGCTTTTAAGTATATTATCAATTTGCTCCATAGAGAAGTTTTATATTTTAGTTTCCAAATAGAAAACATTGAAGAGAAAAATAGCAATGCAGTATTTTTTAAATCATTGACCTGAAAACATATTTTCCTTCTTTTTTTAATGAGGGAAACTAATATATATTCTTGAAGGTTTTAGGAAATCAGCTTTTGTCTGTAATCCATAAGAAAGTTTCCATATATTGTAATATTTCCATATTAACTGGTCAAATCTCTTTCTGTCTCTTCTGTTATCTCCAAACCTAATTTCTCATCAAATATGTTACGATTTATGTCCTAATCTAAATATTGGGAGCAAAATTGTGAATGTGTAAATATATACTTCACAGTGAAAGAAATAAACTTGAAAAAAAAAACTGGGACAGTAGAATCCAGTGATTAAGATTCATTGCAGAGAAATGAGAAATCCAAGGCGTGAACGAATACTGGGGAACATGCTCTGGTTTTTAAAATAGCAAATTCTTTTTTTTTTCTGCTTCTATTAAACTAGGAACAATAAGACTAGTTTTGCACTAAGGCAATTGATCCCCTTGTAGTTATTTTCAGGACTAYCTTCT